GTTATGTAGGCTGATAATTGATTCTCTGCCAAAGGTCATCAATGAAGCATGTGGACCTTTGCAACGCATCAAACACATATTCATACAATCCTCCATTCATAGATATCGTTAACCAATGATCTCCTTCTTGGATCGAAAACCTACCATGGGCTTACATCCACGCCCGCTCTATTGATCGGACTTCTGTGTACCCTTCCCAGCGAAAATTTGACCTTCCAGGCCCTTTTTGGCCCAATGCGCCACGACCCTCTCCCACTCCACTCCACACGCGGCGGTACGCATATGCACAACAAGGTCAACGCTGTCTGTAATACGACCTGGAGAGACTTATTATACGCTATGATGTCTACCTGTCGTTGACTCTCGGGGAGTCGGTCGAGCAACGTCGTGGCGCCACTCACGTAAGCATCCCCATTGCGATGAAGATATATACCCAGACTGGTTTTGTTATCTGATTCCTTCCTAGTATCGGTAACCATCGGGAGAAGAAATGGCCAATATTTAATGATAGATACTTTAAGAGCTTCGGAGCTATGTTCCAAGTCGGCTAGGTTCAACACACCTCAGTCTTAGGTAGGCATTCTATCACAAGGCCGACCAAGCGATAAGGGTAACAACTATGTTGTTGCACGAAGAGCTACGAATCTAACAGCTACGAGGTTGTCTGTATATACAAGATAACAGACAAAGGAGTCTGTTAGAAGAGTCCCAAGGGAGCCGATCCGTATCCTGATAGCTGATCCACGTCCTGGTAGCTGCAAGGCTACCATCCTAGGCCACGATGCCTTCTAGAGGACCTAGAGGAAGGCTGGGGGGGCCAGGAAGGCCAAAGCCTGACACATTCATCGTGGACGGTGAAAGGGAACGCTAGATATGAAGCAAGCAGGCGTAGTCGGACAACAGCGTCGACTGTACCGGTAGCGATGATATTTTGTGCGCAACATGGGCGCTCCGCTTCGTATAGGCGAGGCATCTTCTCTTTTATTATGGGAAGTGGAAAGGAGCACGTAGCACCTAAGTTTTATATCGCTAGTAGTTACCTGCCAAGCCCGCTAGACATAACTCCAGGCGGCGAGTTCATTAACGTGGATATATCGGGCTAGAAAGCGGTCCGGTTCCGTTCGGTGCGCCCGGCCTGGATTACAATCTACCTAGGTTAGCTCCATCGCAGCTATGGCAGATTTATATGGACACCCCCACGGTCACTTTCCAGCCACTCATGACCGACGCCTCTGGCGATATGCAAACATCCATTTTGCACCAGACGCCCTAATGTTTAGCATCTATACTGTTGCCGTTTCAAGGTCGACCAATGATCAATGCCGTGTCTTCTGGTTACCAAAATTGCCCACTGAAGCCACGCCCACGTCTGGTTGTTGGATGCTAAGATGAAAGTTGAGTGGATGGGTTCATGCCGCGGGTCGGTACAGTTTCTGATATCATGAGCTAGAATTCAATGAATAGGTACCCTGAAACAATTTTTGAATTAACAAAGCATTCTGATAAATAGAAATTTTATTAGTGAAAAGCACAGCATGAAACCAGCCACAAATCTTCCGTGACATGCAATACTGACTCATATTATGGAGATAAAAGAGCATTTAGTCCTTTAAATGAATATTCTTCAGTCACTTATGCAATCGAATATGACACTGCAAAACTTGACCTGGCAAATCCAAAATCGCCTCCATAAATCTATGAATTAATAGTCAATTGTGTGTACTCGCAAAAAAAATTCCCCTCGACTTGCACATCAGCTATACACTACCTAGGTAGAAGGAAATAGCTATGGAGGAAGATAGGGCCCAAGCCGACCTAGGAATCGCTGCAGACATCGAAGAAGCACATGCGCCACCACCAGCACCCGTCCAGAAGCAGCCTAAAAAGAGATTTGTAGGTCGAAGGACGGCTGCAGGCAATGCGAAAAATGGCATCGGTGGCTCCTCCGTCGAGGATAGCGGGGCTATCCAAGGTATGCGACGACCCCGACCCGGGGACTAAGACGAAGACAGCTAAAAATATGGACATCAGTATCACAGGCGAAGCGGGCGCCGAGGCTACTAAACCAGGTGCCTCCGGAGATCTTGAATGACCCGGAGCTCAAGGACGCGATTACACTGCTGCCCGCGAATTACTCGTTTGAGATACACAAGACGATCCATCGCATCCGGTCTTCAGGCGCCAAGAAGGTTGCGCTGCAGATGCCCGAAGGCCTGCTCATGTTCGCCACCACCATCTCAGATATTCTCACACAGTTCTGCCCAGGCATTGAGACTCTGATCATGGGCGATGTCACTTACGGGGCCTGCTGCATTGATGACTATACGGCACGTGCGTTGGGCTGCGATCTTCTGGTCCATTATGCTCACAGCTGTCTCATTCCCGTGGATGTCACCAAAATCAAGGTGCTGTATGTCTTCGTCGACATCAGCATAGATACGTCGCATCTCCTAGCTACCCTGGAAAGAAATTTCGCGCCGCCCAAGACCGTCGCAATAGTCGGGACTATCCAGTTCAATGCCACTATTCACGGCGTTCGGTCGACGTTGGAAAAGGCCGGCTTCAAGGTGCTGATACCACAGATCGCACCCCTGTCCAGGGGCGAGATCCTGGGATGTACCTCACCGCGCCTCTCCGACTCGGAGAGTGTCGACCTCATCCTCTACCTTGGAGATGGCCGCTTTCATCTTGAGAGTATCATGATTCATAATCCCGCAATTCCCGCATATCGATACGATCCCTACTCAAGGAAGCTGACGCGAGAGACATACGGTCACGAAGAGATGCAAAGCCTACGGCGGGACGCCATTGCGACGGCGAAGGGTGCCAAAAAATGGGGACTAATCCTCGGTTCACTTGGCCGTCAAGGTAACCCTCACACGATGACATTAATTGAGAAGAAGCTAAGGGAGATGGGAATTCCATGGGTCAACCTGCTGCTCAGCGAGATATTTCCGGGGAAGCTGGCGATGATGAGTGATGTGGAGTGCTGGGTCCAAGTGGCTTGCCCGCGCTTGAGCATTGATTGGGGTTACGCGTTCCCGCGACCATTACTAACGCCATACGAAGCGCTCGTCGCGCTCAACGAAAGGCAGGATTGGAGCCAGACCGGCGTTTACCCTATGGACTACTACGCAAGAGAGGGACTAGGAAGAACTAAAGACATCCAGGTTTCTAGCTGATGGCAGCTCATAGCTTTGACAAACCAGTCAATAACATTGTCCGCATTGTTTCAAAACAACACAAGGACATCAGTGAAGATCACGTCGCTGCCCCTTTCATATCGCCAACAGTGGTTTTTAACATTGATTTAAACAAATCCTACCAGATCTCACGTTCATAGTCAAAATACGAGACTAAAATATAGGGATAATCAACATATTATTACAACTTTACTTTTCATCTCAATGCTACTCACTTACCTCCTCTGCAGGATACGTTTCATAGCCGTTTGAGGGTCTTACATACTATTGTTCATCCACAAAGAAGCTGGCTATGACTTACCTAGCCCTGGCGCGAAAACATTTCTCTCAGCTTCTGCAGGAAGTCTTTCTTGGTACCTTCCTTTTGGGAATCATCAATCTCGTCCCAATGCGACAGCGCTTCTAACAGAATGTGCTGCCGCTCCGGCCTCGGGAGGTCGATTGCGTCGCGGCGGTCGTCGGGAGTGGTCGTCTCCTCGGTCTCTTCGGCAACCCACGCCTGGGGGTCCACGAATCCCCTCTTGGGGATTTCCTCCAGCCACGCCTCGATGGCGCTCTGCTTGGCCTCCCTGATCTCCTTCTCCTCCTGGACCGCCTGGTGGTGCAGGTACAGGAAGACACGAATACCAATGGCAAACCGCTCCCGCGCGTAGTCCTCCGGCGTCTTCTCGCTCTCCTCGCCCCTATCCGAAGCCGCCAGTGTCCACGGGCCCTCGGTCTCGAGGTACCGGACGATACGCCCGACGCACAGCGCCGCGTCCCAGTTAACCGCGTCCTCGTGCGCTGCCCGCATCTCGCTCACGAGGTTCTCCCCCAGGCTCGCGATGAACAGCGCCGCCTGCGGGCTCGGCAGCGGCGGCCGGTCCCCGGACCGGTAAGCGTTCGACCACTCGGCGAACGCCTCCCTGACGGCGCTCGCGCCGAGCACGACGCGCCGGAGGTCTGCCGCGGTGCGGACGGCCGTGACGGCGAAGTGGCACAGCAGCTCGTTGGTGTCGGGGACGGGCGTGGCGCCGGGCCGGCACAGGGCCTCGGCGAGGGAGGTGAGTCGGCATACGCACATGGCGTGTTGCAGGCGCTCAAGGGTTTGCTGTACTTCGGAGGAAGCCATGTTGATGGTCGGTGTGGACATTGTTGAGGTGTTCAACTGATGAATAGTGTCGTGTGTTAAGAGGTAGTGTCTTCGTAAAAGTGTCAAGATGGATCAGATTGTACTGGATATTACTCGTCTTGATGATCAAGATGCGGATATCAACGTCAAAGTCGCTATTCCCAACTTCATAGTCGCTTTGCCCGATATTTATAATACCACCTGAACAACCGAAACAACATAACAATTCTCGCCATTTCAAAACTCTAGCTATTTGTCGATGAAGGTCGTTATCAATCATGATGAGTGTCCGATGAGGACGTTACTGTACGGATGGGAAGTATAGGCTTTTGTTGGTCCTCTGCGGTCGTACTCTCTACCATGCGTTTCGTCTTGAGACGAGAAGTAACGGTGGTAGTTCTATTACTGTCCGAGAAACAGCTGTGCATTGATCAGGATATGTTATTATGTAACAATTTACCCTTGAGTCTGTCTAGAAGACTCTCGTAATTTCAGAAATCGAGGTGTCCATGGGAGACACTGGATATAAGGATCAAGTTATAGGACGCCCTATTCTTTGCACGAACGCCGCTTTAATATCCCTACATAGCCACCCAGTAATAGGCTTCAATGAGCGAAACTGAAGCATTTGACATGTCTAGCACAATGTAGGTGGCCTAAAAAATGAAAATAAACCCAGGGATATACTCGCTCGCGGGGAATCGAACCCCGGCCCTCTCGCGTTTATTCTTGGCGAGTGTTCTACCACTAAACTACGAGGTTCATAGAAAATCGCTTGGTCATTTTGACCGCTCATTACGCGCAGATCTGAAAATACGAATTATATATTAGACGCTGTATACACAAACCAGGCCTTACTACGCGGTCTGGGTCTCGGGTGTATGCAAGTGCTACGGCGTCTACCCCAGTAGCATATGTACCGCAGTTGCAGCCCCAAGTGATATAGCTATTCCACACAGCCAACTTCCCTTAGATACTGCACCAGCAGTTACCGCAGGCTTGCTAGGGCTGCCGTCGCCTTGAAAACCTTTACCATTACCGCTGCCCTCGCCCTTACCATCGGACCCGCAACCGCTCCCCTAAGACGTCGCGGTGTCGTTGATGCTGAAGACGTAGCTGGCCTGGAGGACGTACGGGTCGCCGCCGGGGCCGAAGATCTGCTTGCTCTCGCGCTGCCACTCGGGATGATTGATGGCGTCGATCCAGTCCTCGACCTCCATGACGACGCAGCCGTACTGCGGGATCGTGCGCGGGAAGTCCGTGTTGTTGAACAGACCCTGCGTCGTCTTGAGCGGCATCGTCGCGTTCTGTGAGTTGCACGAGTACAGCTGGAAGGCCTCCTGGTCGGTGTATATGTCCACTTGGATGCCCGACCAAGCCGATTGTAGGCGTGCCACGAAGCCGCCCTCGGCCCGCCAGTCGTACGGGCCGTCCTGGTCGCGGTTGATGATCCAGCAGGTGTCTAGTAGCGTCTTATTAGTATTTTTAAAGGCAGCCATTGATGGTTGACACCGGGCACTTACCGTAGCCGGTGCAGTTGAAACCGCAGTTACCCTCCGCCTCGGGGCTCTGAAGGCTGGCTCCAATTTGCTTCGGCGCGCTCCAGAAGTCGTTCACGGAGCCTTGCTTATTGGCAAGGATATCACCCGTGGGTATCAGGATATTGTCAACACCGACTCGTTGGCCGCTGTAGGGCAGGTAGAAAGTGTGGTTCAAGGCGGTGTTGGTCTCATTATTGGCAAAACCGTCCAAATTCCAGTATGTGTGGCTACTAAGCATGATGGGCGTCTTCTTGGTAGTGGCAATGGCTACCATCTTAAAGTCCCACGTGAAGTTGTTAAGGGTGTAGGTGATGTACGAGATAACCTCTCCGGGGAAACCCTCCTTTCCGTCGGGGTCGACGATGGAAAACGTTATGCTGTCATTGGTATGAGAGACGACGGTGAAGTTGCGGTAATCCCAGCCATCGTGACCACCGTGTAAAGTATCAGCGCCATCAGGTGCCTCTGCGGTTGGGTTCTCGTTGGGATCGACATGGTACGTCTCGCCGTCAATTTCAAAGGTGCTGTTTTTTATCCGGTTTGCGTATCGACCCGGTACACCGCCAAGATGAGGGTGAGCTGCGTCAAGTGAGTATGCGGTGGCGTTGTCGAAGCCGGCCACAATGTCTCTCTGAATACCGTACTTGTCGTGGATCAAGAGCTTCGCGATGGAGGCGCCGTATGGATTAAACGCGGCCGACAGACCCTCGCTGAAGACCCAATAGAAGCCATTCTCATCGGGAGCAAGACTGCTCGACACATTGCTGCTACCTGTACCACCAGACGACTGCGCCGAAGCAAGTGGGAGCAGGAGAGCTCCCACCGAAGCAAGACCCGTGTTCAGACGCATAATGACTTGAATGTGAGACAGGTTTTGATTGTTGACATGCAGCCTTGGTACGGGTGCTTTGTTGCTCGTCTCAATTGGCGGTGGGAGAGAAGGCGAATAAAAAGACGTACCTCGGGGGGGAAAAGATTGGCAACTTATATGAATCCATCCATCACAAAGAACAAACCCCCGTCGGGAGAAACCTGATTTGGTTGGACAATGGAGTCGCGTAGGCACTCATCACGCTGACCTCGTGCAGGGGAGTAGGGCTGGGTTGGGCTTAGGAAATATTAATCTCAATCTCACCTATTCCGTACATACATTTGAACCCAGCAGCCCCCGGCGATCCCCAGCTTACGACCCCTGGCGGCGTCGAGCTACTCCGCTTTCTTGGAAAAGTTGGGGTAAACGACGTAAGTGACAAGTAGCGTCGCATCGACCTCATCAAAAACCATGCGGTGGAACAGGACGAATCTAGAAGGTCGTTAATATTTGCCTATTAGCTGGTAATAACATAGAGCTAGGGGCGAATTCATGATTCGTCCGTTGCTCCCATCATCAAGGACATTTGGCCATCCTAGTAATGAGGTTCGCACGTTTGCGGGTTACAATGCAGACTATCATTCTGAACCCGCGGGAACGGAACGCTGTCATGGAAGCTTGCATGGACCGCAGCTTTGTCACCAACAGGGAGAAGCGGTCTGCCTAGGTCTAAAGATTGTTTTACCAATAGCGTGAAGCTAGGCAGAGAGCGTTGCGAGAAGGATTCCTTTCGATGCCCACGCCGCTACTGTTCTAGGTAATGGCATGTTGCTTCTTTGTGAAATCACATACAAGAAGCCAGAGAAGAACCTTGAAAACCCCAGAAATCGGGAAGAATCGAGCTCGACCCCGAAGACTACTTTGAGTTGGTATAAGGATTCCCCACTAGAGAAGTTGGAGATGTCTACCTTTCCTTATGACGTTAGGAATTAAGCGCTGTAACGTTTAAACCGGGAGAGGTAGTCTGTGGAACCCCAACCTCTCTCTACATAGGCACGATCATGTGCCTTGCATTCCTCTCACTAGCGTCGTATAAAACCGGTGCAAACGTCTGCGGTTTGCAGATTCCAATGGCCTCCAAGCGAAGAGGACCTCGGGAGTCTTTGAAAGCAGCATCTGACCGAACAAATCATCTGACTTGGAAGACTTTTGACATGTAATAGCCGCTGACGTCTTCGAGAAGCTACTGACTTATGACAATGAAAAGCGAACCGGCGAGCAACAAACAGGACAGGCCAACCAATTGGTGCGGGAAAAGCAACACGAAGGCCCAATGCACGTGAGTGGTGGATTTTGAGTACGGATTTCCAAGGGCCGATTTCCCCATGTTTCTTTCAGTTGGAGTTCCACAATGCGGGGGTCGATGCTACCTGATCGAACCCCTTTAGGCATGGTCGAATGACTGAAGGAGCTAGATATGGGGTACGTAGTGTGATCCTTCTTACATAGTAGGTACTAGGTAAGCTTCCCCGCGTTCACTCAACTTGCCCGCTTGCTTTCTCTTTCACAATGCAGCACGCCCTTCCGTCGGGCTGCGCTCAGCTGATATTCTGTCAATATGAAATAGTGGCAAGCTAGATTTTGTACATATACCTAGGTACAGTTGGAAGGTTGCTTCTTTGAGTGTCTTGAGTGCTACAAGTAAAGCTGACGCAAGCGATGTGCCACAGAACGCCTCGAGCGTGTGTGTAGCTTCACATTGTAGATCCGTTGTCCCTCGCTCAGCCTCAGATCAGTCGATTTTGTAATGCGGAAAAGCCATCCGAAAAGGGCGGGGAACTAGCGGGTCTTCACCGTGGATTTCGCCGAGGCTTTACCTATAGCCTGATAGTTAAGTTGCGGAGAGCACGCCATACCCAGTCTTGGTGTAATATTCCCGACTACCGGGCGACGGCGACTCCAAATCATGATTGTGAGTTATGCTAAGATCGATTGCCTCGAATGCCCCAAATAGAAGCATTGGCTTAGACTTCGGGTGGTTCAACTCAACTCACTTGAAATGAATAATTAAACCTTGAGAGATGGGATAAGTTGTCTGATGAATTCCTCAGACGGAACATGACGCTTAATTCCCCAGGCTCTGTCATCATATGGACAAATCTTCCGTAATAGACGCGGTAATCAGTGGAATAGCCATTGTATTGAATGCTGCTTATAAGAACCCCGTACTCCGCGTTGTGTAACAACTAGCCTATACACATCCGACACGCACTTTCGACCTCTCTTCAAGTTCATACTGATTATACGTCAACCAGGTTCTCCTCTTGAGGGGCATCAGTGTCCTTGACACCCTTGTCGTTCTTATCCTTATCCTTGCCTTTGCCCTTTCGGTCTGCTGCCGATCGTTGGTAGTACTCCTGGATAACCTTGGCCGGGATACGATTGAGGAGCTCCTTGGGGAAGATACGTAGAAGACTCCAGGCGATGTCGAGAGAGTCGAAGATACTTCGCTGTTCGTACGCACCCTGCGTGACGAACTGTCGCTCGAACTTCTCGAGGAATTCTAGCGACAGCTTGTCTTCGGCCGACAAGGCCTCCTCACCAACGACAGCCTTCATGGCTGCGGCATCACGACCAATGGCGTATTTGGCGTAAAGCTGGTTGGACACGTCACCGTGGTCTTTTCGGGTCATTCCCTCACCAATGGCAGACTTCATGAGACGAGACAAAGATGGCAACACGTTGATCGGCGGATAGATACCACGGTTGTAGAGCTGACGGTCAACGTAAATCTGACCCTCAGTAATGTAGCCCGTCAAATCGGGAATAGGGTGCGTAATATCGTCGTTCGGCATAGTCAGAATGGGGATCTGCGTGATGGATCCGTTTCGTCCCTCAACACGGCCGGCTCGTTCGTAGATGGTAGACAAATCGGTGTACATGTAACCGGGGAAACCACGTCGACCTGGCACTTCTTCTCGGGCGGCGGAAACTTCTCGGAGGGCATCGCAGTATGCGGACAGATCGGTAAGAATGACTAGGACGTGCTTTTCCAATTGGTAGGCGTAGTACTCGGCGGTAGTCAGAGCGAGACGTGGAGTAATAATACGTTCGATCCTATTTACTATTAGCCAATTATTCGAAAGACGACAAGAACTATGAGGTCGTACGTAGGGTCGTTTGCGAGGTTCAGGAAAAGGGTGACACGTTCCAAACTGCCGTTCTCTTCGAAGTCGCGGGTGAAGAATCGAGCAGTCTCCAAGTTAACACCCATAGCAGCGAACACGATAGAGAAGTTCTCCTCGTGGTCGTCATGCACACCCTTATTCGTAGCACCCTTCTGCTTGACTAGACCAGCCTGTCGGCAAATCTGGGCAGCGATTTCGTTGTGCGGCAGACCGGCGGCAGA